TGTTAGTCTGTATCCGCAAAAAGAACAGGAGTACTTGTGGCACCTTAAAGACTAACGTTAGTCTCTAAGGTGCCACAAGTACTCCTGTTCTTTTTGTGGATACAGACTAACACGGCTGCTACTCTGAAACCTGTCATTATGCAAGGTACTGCATTTAGCCGTAAGGAGTGGAAATCCAGCAATTTCATTTAAATTTGTTAGTCTCTAAGGTGCCACAAGTACTCCTGTTCTTTTTATAGTTTAAATGTTAGGAGTGTCTGTTATGTTCAGAGAGCAGTCTGATAAATACATTATAAAAGACTAGCGAGTTGATGACCTGGTCTACATTCCAGGCGCAGCTACACTACACCCTATTAAAATGACACACAATTCTTGCAAGGTGTATTCCTTTTAAAGTGACTAACTTGAATGCACAATATTCTTAAGAAATGTCATGTGGTGGCATTAGTACATGCAAGTCTCTGTGTGTGTTGTATACTATGAAACAGTAATTCTGTTTTCTTAAGTGCTGATCATGATACAATATTTCTATTAACATTGTTTTCTTCAATAGGAAAATGGCTGATTTTTTTCAGAAGTCCTGAACACTCGCAGCTCCTATCGAATTCAATGAGAGTTGAGTGCTCAGTTCCTTTGAAAATCAGAATGCTTTGATTTAGACTCTAAATTTATGCACTCGTATTTGAAATTTTTGGCTTCTATTATTGTCTTTGTATATTTCACCATTATCAATCATAATCCTTTCACCAGTATCACAATTTGTTGTGCATAGTTTTACAGGCATATGGTTCCCTACCCAGAAGATGCTTACGGTCTAAGGACCCAGTATCACAAGTTCTTATGGGGAGGAGGACATACTCCTGCTAGAAGGGACTAATTGCAGTTGTTACTAGGAGTAACGGTTACTAGTGTTTTCAGGATTGTGCACAATCTTTAGACCAGACTTGATACAAAAGGAAAGCTGGTTGGAGAGACTGATGGGAGCAAAAGGAAAGGAATACTACTTCCTGGGAAATGAAGCACCGATAAAGAGTGAGAAACAAATATAAGCGATTGAAGTATATTTCAGCAGGAGATTAACCATGATAATCTTTGCAGAAGAGAGTCAAAAAGTGTTTAATCTTGTAAATTTTTTTCATGTGTTTAGGAGCCAGGTGAAACAGCACTTCATTTAGCAGTCCGGACTGCTGACCAAACCTCTCTTCATCTGGTTGACTTCCTTGTACAAAACTGGTATGGATTGCTCACTTGTTAACCAGAATAACTTTAATGACAAATGTACCAATTCAAAATCATTCTCATCATTTACATTGCTTTGTACGGAGTTTTTTATTAATGATCATACTACTTAGTATATTTTTGATGTTGCATCTGAATAGAATAGAACTTGAGTTGACCTTTCTGCTGTAAAGCAATAAAAAAGGGAAAAAGAATAAAAACATGAACATTAGGTACATGAACTATGTAGGAAAAGAGACACTATATGATAGAGTGGCGGGGGGGGAGCGAAAACACTGAGGGAACTTTTATGACAAAGGAAAATCAATGCAAATAGATAATCCGGAAAAGAGATGGCAAGAAAGCTTCCAAAATTAGGGATAGAATAATTCAAGGAAAGCAAGACAGTGAAAACAAAGGTATAGACATTTTTTCTCTCAGAAAATGAGAAGTAAAAGAATTAAAGTAACCTAGGAAAAGATGGACATTTTAATAAACAGTAGGTTTAAAACTATGGAAAATGCAATACAGTAGAACCTCAAAGTTATGAACACTGAGGAATGGAGATTGTTCGTATCTCTGAAATGTTCGTAACACTGAACAAAATGTTATGGTTGTTCTTTCAAAAGTTTATAACTGAACATTTACTTAATACAGCTTTGAAACTTTACTATGCAGAAGAAAAATGCTGCTTTTAACCATCTTAATTTAAATGAAACAAACACAGAAACAGGTTTTTTGTTGTTTTTTTGGTCTCTGCTGCTTGATTATGTACTTCCAGTTCCAAATGAGGTGTGTGGTTGACTGATCAGTTTGTAACTCTGGTGTTTGTAAGTCTGAGGTTCTACTGTAGATGGCGTAGCAGAGTTAAGTAGCAAGTTTTCAACCTGTCAATGGTTGTTGAGATATTTTATGGTGTAGAGAGGATGTGATGACAGGGGGCAAGGAAAACTTAGTGAAAATGCACACTCTAAAGGAAATAAAATCAATTCATATACAATGCAGCATGATTATTTCTGATATGAGATTTCACAGTGTGTGCAGTGAGCTGACTAAATAGATCCTATGTCACTTTTAATGATTTCCTGTTGAGTGAAGAAAACAAAGAGCTGCTGCTGTCTTGTCAAATTGTGGGTTTTAGCACAGTAGCAGTAATTAAGGGCCTAGAGATGATCAGTTGGCTCATCACAGCCTGTTTTTTCTAACACAGCTGATGTTTCCTGTTAACCTTCAGAATACAGTCTGAATTGTACATGTTTTCCCTTCCCCTTTCCAGTAACTCAGGTACCTACTTCACACTTTATATAGTCTGTATAAGAGAGGAAACTTAGTCTTGTGGTTAAAGCACAGGTCTTGAAGTCAGAAATGGGTTCCATTTTTAGATCTCTCATTGACTTGTTATGTGTCCCTGAGCAAGTCACTCAACCTTTCTGACCCTTCACTTCTCTCATATGTCAAATGGAATAAATGTTACTTGCCTACATTTGCAGAAGTGTTTTAAGGGTTAATTTATTTATGTTTGCAAAGCACTTTGAGACCATCAATTGGAAAATGCTTTAAAAGTGCAAATTATCATTGTTGGTTTTTGCAGATGGTTTGATACTTTACACAGTGATTAGTTAAACTGATTCTGCTTAGTTATGAAATCTTCACTTGATGATCTTTTATGTCAATGTTCTCATCTGCATAGCCAGATTTTTTTGTTGTCAGTTATTACTCTGTCATGTTAAACTCAAAATTGGAGTGCACTTCTCCAACAAAAAGAGCAGCCACTGGTTCTTTGTTGTGAACAACACTGGTCAGCCACCTTATATATTTGTCTTCTAATCATTTATAATTTTCTGCGGACAAGTCTACACTATAGATCTACATCGGCTTAGCTGCATCAGTGCAGCTGTGCTGCTGGTAAAGATGCGCTATGCTGACAGAAGACCACTCTCCCATCGGCATAATTACTCCACCTCAGTGAGAAGCAGAAGCTATGTTGGAGGGAGGGCATCTCCCGCCAATATAGTTCCGGTGTGCACAGCGCGAAACTTGCGTCACTCGGGGGGGTGGGGAGGGAGAGACATAAGTTAGATCGACTTAAGCAGTAGTCTAGATCTGCCCTGAGGCTGTTCTTTGATTTTCATAAATATACATATTAAAACTCAAATGTCCAGAAATGGTGAAGAGTATTATCCTGTCATGCTAGTGACACAGTATCAGTGGACACTTTCTTTCTAAGTCCCTCTTTTCCGGCAAGGGCTTCCAGCAAAAGAAGAAGAGGGCCTCTGAAAGAGGTCTGGTCCTTGATGACTCCGCTTAATCTTCCTGCTACCTCATGAGGTTGGGGATTGGTTTTCTTACCCCTTCCAATAAGGAAGTTGGAAGCCTCTCTGCTGCTTCATGTTCTGATTATATGGTGGGCCCAGCTGCCCAGGCTAGACACAGCAGTAATAAAGGCTGCCTCAGCGCAAAGGCTAACGTGCAGGTCTCTCAGCTTGAGATGAGGATTCTATTCTAGTCACTGTGTGGAGCAGACAGTAATAAAAAATACAACATATGCACAAGGGAGCCAAATTCCAAAAAAATGTCAGTCTTCTGACATGTGTAAAATCTTTAGTGGCTTTACAATGCGTTAATGAAGATTTTCTCTTTTTGACATTGACAGAGTCCCACTAAGGGAATGGTATGCCACCATCAGGCTTAACACACACAGTTAAAAATATGTGGGAAGATCAAAGGAAAAGAGGGACATATATCAATCCTTGTTTTAAAACAAGATCACCACTTTTGGCAAGGTGCAAGGTGACACAAAACTACCAGAAATGGAATGGAATGGTCAAAAAGAAAAAGAAATGCTGTGACTTTCCAACCTAAACTAAATTTAACAATATAAATAGGGCCCTACCAAATTCACTGTCCATTTTGGTCAATTTCATGGCCAGGGGTTTTTAAAATTAGTCAAAATTTCACTTTTTCAGATGTTTACGTCTGAAATTTCATGGTGGTGTAACCCTGGGAGTCCCGACCCAAAAGGCTGTCGGGGGATGAAGGGGGAAGGATCACAAGGTTATTGTAGGAGGATCGTGGGATTACCACCTTTACTTCTGCCCTCTTGTCTTCAGAGCTGGGCAGCCAGAGAGGAAGGCTGCTGGCCGGGTGCCAGCTCTAAAGCCAGTACCACCAGCAACAGCGCAGAAGTGAGGGTTGCAGGGTATGGGGGGTGGGTTACCATATGTCCAGTTTTCCCGGGAGTCTCCTGCTCCAATGGGGGCAGGTGACAGCTCAAGGAGGCGCAGCCTCTCCCTACACCGGGAGGAGGTGATAGCTGGAACTGCGGAGCTTCCTGCAATTGGGGGAGGTTCCTGGAGGTGGGTCTGACGCACCCCGGGAGCGGCCCCTGCAGGGGAAGAGGAAGACTCATCCCTCCCCATGCCTGCTGGGACTAACAGCTGGAGCCCTCCGTAGGGTAAGAGTCGTCGGCTGAGCACCAGATTTCATGGAAGAGATCAGTTTTCACGGTCCATGATGTGTTTTTCACAGCCATGAATTTGGTAGAGCCCTAAATATAAAGTACTTGTTAAGATGCAAAGTTAGATTTGATAATTTAACATGACTGAGAAAGAGGAGTTGGGTTTGACCACTCTTGATGGTGAATAGAGAGGAACTTAAGATACCTGTATTAAGAGCGGGGCACATACCCTTGGGCTTTGGAATGTCGGCTCAGAGAAAACATGTATACCCTATAACTTTCAGATACTGTTCAAAAACGGTTCCCGAGCCACCTGCCTAGGCACACAACTCCTACAGTATATTTCACTGAAAGCAATGCAGACACAGAGCAAGAGTTACTGTTAGACTGAAAAGGGGAGTTACTTGTTAAAATACACTTTTGCTTTGAAGAAGTTCTGTATGTTGTCCATAATAAGATACAATATACAGATGACAAATTTGGGGTTGAACATGTATGTGATTTTTTTTTCTCATCTTTTTCTTTACTTTGTTTAGTGGAAACCTGGATAAACAAACTGCATTGGGGAATACAATTCTACACTACTGCAGTATATATAATAAACCTGAATGTTTGAAATTGCTTTTGAGAGGCAAACCAACTATTGATATAGGTAAGCTCGCTAATATGTGATGCTTGAAATTTTTTGTTCCCATAATATGAGTTTAACCAGTTTTATTTGTATACCAGTGTGTAAAAACTGATTTACCAAGCAAAAATGAAAATTGTGTTAAACACATATCTGTGACCCTATCAAGAAGACTGAGAGAGGAATTCAGCTAGGAAATAGGCTTTAAATAATTTTTTTCAAATATTTTCTTTTGAAGAATTGCAAATTAATGTATGGTTCCAGAGAGGTTTTACAGCATAATGTATATATAAAATTATTCCGCTTTTTAACTTATTTTATAGTAAACCAAGCTGGAGACACAGCTCTGGACATAGCAAAGAGACTGAAAGCTACTCAGTGTGAAGAACTGGTAAGAAAAAGACTTTGTTTTTTAAGCACCCAACATCTCAAAACATTTGCAGAATTAAGATAAATCAGAAATTATTAAAATATTTAAAATTAAATAATGTCACAAATTAAAGAAGAGAAGTTTCTTTTTCTAAAGATACTGTCTATGCAGGAGTCTCACTCCTGGATTTCATATCTCCAGGCTGGAAATTACCTTGCTTTTAAGGTGTTTGTTTTTTTTGGTATTCTCTGGGTCTTCAGTAGCTTAGCTTGAGGGTTCTTCCCTACTAGGTATGCTTCACCCTCAGAAAATTCCAGCCAGTTTCTTTATGACTGGTCAGTGAAGAAGCATGCTTTCTACAAGAAATGTTTTAGCTATTTTAACCCACACAGCTAAAGCTCTTACTTTTATAGATCCAGGTTAGGAGCTGTGCATCTTTCTCAGTTCTGGCCTCTTCCCCAATCTGAGACATCTTGGCTGCACCTCACTGTATCTCATGGGACACGTGTTCTCCCTGTCAGCCTTTCTGCCAGGACCTCAAATCAGGCCAGTAAAATGATAGTGCACATATCAAGGCTTGTCAGGTCTGGGTCTCCCCTCAGATTTGCTGCCAGGAGCACAGAACGTATTTGTTGATGGAGTAATTAGACATCTCCATCTTCAGAAATCCTGAAAAGAGAAATAGAAACAATCAATATTGAGCTCCTAAAGAACAAAGAAACTAAGGTGCAGTGAGTGAAAGTAAGGATAACTAGCACCCAATGTGGGTTACAGAAGTAAGCTGGAGCTGTGATGGTTAAAACTCTTAGACATCTCCTGTAGGGGAACTCCTTTGCTAAATGCAGTCAGAATGTTCCAGGGGCACATAACAGGAGTTTCTTATTGGGCAATGCCATTGAGTAGACCTACAGGTATCTGAAAGGGCCAGAAGTGTTAGAACTTGGGGAATTTCCCACTGGACCAGAAACCCAATAATGAGAATTCTGCAAGGTGACATTTTCAGAGAAGCAGAATAACATGTAAGTAATTTTTCCTTCTTGCTTTTGAAAGAAAGTGGCTGGAATGTTTCTGGCCTCTAAGGATATGTCTACACTGCCATTAAAAACCTGTGCCCGCTGACTCAGGCTCTTGGGGCTTGGGCTAAGAGGCTGTTTAAATGCAGTGTACAAGTTTGGGTTTGGGCTGGAGCTTGGGTTATAGGATCCTGCGAGGTGAAAGGATCCCAGAGCTCAGACTGCAGCCTGAGCCCAAATGTCTACACAGCAATTAAACAGCCCCTTAACCTGAGCTCAGTGAGCCTGAGTCATCTGGTAGATACTATCACTTCTGCTACTCTTAGTGCTCTTTCTAGTGCTGTAGACACACTATCCATTAAAAGAAGAGCTACTGCACAACAGCATTGTGAGGGCTGGCTGCTAACTTTTTGACTGTGTATACAATGGTTTTGTGTAGTAATAAATGTACCCGCTATGAAAACCTTAGCAATAAACCATCAGGTATACTAACTTGTTGACATGGGGCAGTTTGACAGTAAAAAGTTTTTGATGCCATTAATGACCCTTTAAAATCAAGGATCTAACTAAGCAGCACTACATTTGCTTATTATTGTAATTGAAATCCTGCAAGTACCTACTCAGACTGTCGTGGTTAATTAAAAATCAGACTGATCATTTCATGTGTTTTTATATTTTTCCATATTTGGGGGAGAGAAAAAATTCTCCATTTCTTTGAAAACTGACAGTGGGACTAAGTTCACAATTGAAAGGAAATGGCAACACTTAATATCTATGTAAACTATAAAGGAAGTAAAAAGTTATGGTGTCAAAGTATTTGTGCTGATGAAGATAAATCAATGGGTAAACTTTCTTTGGGTAGATTGGAGCCTTAACTACACAATTTCCATTAAGTTAGATTAAGTAAGATGTCCTAATCCCTCTGCAGTGCTTTGTAAATATACAAATTATTATTTATGTTGTTGTATGATGCAAGACAGCCTCAACACCAAAGAGCTTACAACATGAAATAAGTGATAGAACACACACATATAGTGGGAAGTATGAGGGAGTAGATAAGAGGTTTTATTATTCTCCCCCATAATTTCAATAAACTGCTTTTTGAAGGTCAGCACAGAAGATATGGGTCTCTGCGTGGGGTTTGAGCGAGTCATATAGACTGGCCAGCTGGAGTTCGGATGACATTCCATGTGTAGGGGGTAGTGTGTGGGGGGGGGAGGATATGACAACTTCATATTGGTCTTAAAAGGTGCTTTCATACAACGGTGATGGGGGCCATCTAAGTACATAGACAGGAAAATGTCAGTTTATAAATTTACTTTGCTCCTTTCTTCCCACTCTTCCATAGATGACATCACAAATGGCACACACAAAAATAACTAGAAATCTCTAATAGTTTGGCCTGAAAAGCTGTACAGAAAAGGAGAAATTGTTTTTTAGAGGAACTCTCCAGATGTATGCTGCTTTATACAGACATTCTGTTGTGTTAAAAGTATTAGCATGTTTAAGTCAAATATGACAACTCCCATGGGTTAATAAGTGCTTTAAAGAAAATTTGATTTAAATGTTTATGTGAATGTTTTTGTTTCTTGGGCTTTATGATTTTAATTTTGGGGAAGGGAGAAGGGTTTAAAACTAAAACAGTGTTTTTTTGCCATTTGTTCAAACTCTTAAATATTAAAAATTAAAAATTCTTACTGCACACTTTTTGGAATAGGAAGCAGAGATTGACGAAACAATAAGCATTTTGATACTGTTACATTTTTGCTTTTCAGCTTTCCCAAGCCAAGGCAGGGAAGCTAAATCCACATGTACATGTAGAGTATGAGTGGAACCTTCGACAGGAAGAAATTGATGAAAGTGATGATGATTTAGATGACAAGGTAAAAGTGAATTTTGAATGTGTGACATGGGTTTCCAAGAAGTTCTCAAAGTTGGCTAGTTTTGTGGAAATGTAAGAAAATATTTTTAATTTAAATTTAATATGAAATTCAATAGTTGCTACTTAGCCATTTGAAACTAATGCTGAAATCTTTATCCTGTCCCAGTTTTTCGAGTAATTGCACATCTGCATTCCACTGTAGGATACTCAGTGCACAGTTGTCGGAAAACTTTTTCTCTCAGCAGTACCCATCAGGGTGGCTTGAGCGCCTTCTGTTGCCGTGCGCCACTGCACACTGTGTAAGAATGTGAAGCCACCCCCAACCCTCCTCAGTTCCTTCTTACCACCAGTGACAGTTGTTGGAGTGCTCCCAGTCTTGCTATCACAAGTTTATTTCCCTCACTCTTTGTATATAGTCTGTTTCTCATTTAGTAGTTAGTTAGATATAGTGTATAGTTCATGCTAGTCTTAAGTTTGAATTTTTAGGTCTTTTTGGACCAAATTTGATTCTCAGGCCCAGGACTGGGACTAGAACCATGCCTCGCTCTCTGTCATTCAAATCCTGCCTGTTGTAAGCCAAACTGATGCTGGTTAGTGACCCACACCTAGGGTGACCAGATAGCAAGTGTGAAAAATTGGGACGGGGTGTAATAGGTTGCATATATAAGACAAAGCCCCTAATATCAGGATGGGCCAGATAATATTGGGACATCTGGTCACCCTACCCACACCTCAGCTGCCTAAAATGTTTGGAGGAGTCCCACATCAGTGACAAGTGTCACATTTGTAGAGGGTTTAGACCTCGCTCTAAAAAAGATAGAGCAGCAAGACCTAAGTGTCTCCTTACGGAAGCGGCACTTAGCCCTCCATGGGAGCCATCAGACGCCGAGCACAGCAACATCGGTACGCACTGTGCCTCCTGAGATGACTTCAGTGCTACATTCTGTGTCTCCGGAACTGAAGAAGAGACAGATTTTCCAAGGACATAGTACCTCATACAGCAAGACCTTTGGTACTGAGGCCAGCTAGAAGCAAGAATTCTGAGAGGGATACTGAGGAGAGCATTCCCCAGAGTGTTCCTCTACTACAAAGGGGGAGTATTTGTCAACTCCAGAACCTGTGCCAGGTCTGTCGAGGCCAACCCCTGAAGTTCCTATACACTGGATTCAAGACCCAATTCCAGTACTGACAATGCCAGAGGCATAATGCTGCTGCCAGAGAATTGTTTAACCTTTCTGTATTGGTGTCCCTGGCGATGCAGGACGTTTCAGCTGATACTGGTGACTATAGTTCCTGCACCAGCTTCTCAAGACCATGCAGTGCCAATGCCACTTCCAGTACCTAGAAGGCCTGTATATTCCAGGGGCAAGTTACTGTTAATATCCCCAGTACCACCGTCCCCTGGTTTGGCTTACCTGTGTCCTGTCCACCTGGGTTCTGCTCCACCATTATCACGGGACTCAGAGTCTGATTTGGAAGTGGGGTCTTTTGTGTCCCATACCAGACAGGCAGTTGACTTTCCATAAGAGCCTTAAGGTCCATGGATGTCACATTAGTCCCAACAGTGGGCACATCGCAAAGGGCAATGGCCTGCATAACCATGGGGCCCACCACTATGTCAGTGGCCATTCTGGAAGGTGGGGTGTCCCTCCCTCCTGTTAAGTCCTCTCTTCACCTGTCTGAGTTGACTTCCTCAAGAGTGCACAGAGATCATCAGCACCACAGACAATGGTTTCTGGTGCCTGGTACCGGGAGCGGTACTGAGCAACTGGAAATTGCTCAGACAGCACCTCCACTGCAAGAGGCAGATCAGCCATTCCCTCAGCATTGCACTGTGTACCGATGGTGCGTCTTCTTCCTCGTCACCCTGTGAGGCTGTAGAGACGGTGAGTGATTCTCCACAACCAGAGAATTACAAGGCTCACTAAGGACTGCTTAAAAGGGTGGCCTTGGTTTTAGACAGTCAAGTGGAAGTGGTCCATGAAAAATATCACAAGCTAGTGAACATATTAGTATCTGTGGAGCCCTCCAGAGTGGCAGTTCCAATTAATGAAGCAATTCTGGACCAGTTAAAAAACTTTGGCAGACCCCTTCTTCCCTCCACAGGCAGAATAGAGACACTATGTCCTTTTTAAGGGTTTTGAACATCTCTGATTTCACCTGCTCCCAATCTCTTTGGTTGTGACACTAGCTAATGAGTGAAAGAAGCAGCAAAGAGTAATGAATCAAAGAGGCTGAATTTGTTTGGTTGCAAACTTTATTTGACAGGAGGCCTATTGCTTAGAATTACTAACCAGAAAGCTCCCCTGTGTCGCTATGACTTCACCTTATGGGGAGCAGTGGGGGCAAAAAACCTAACTGGCTTGACTTAGTTTAATAAGTTTATGGAGGGGATGGAATGATGAGACTGCGTACGATGGCATGTAGTCGATCTGCAACTGCTAGTAGCAAATATCTCCAGCGGGGCTGTGATGGTATGATGGGACACTAAATGGTGTGGGCGCTGAGTTACTACAGAGTTTTCTTTCCCAGCTGTTTGGCTGGTGGGTCTTGCCCACATGCTCAGGAATTTTCCCCTGGCAGGGATCCTGGGGTTTTTTGGCCTTCCCCTACAGCATGGGGCACAGGTCACTTTCAGGTTTAAACAAGTGTAAAAGGTGGATTCTCTATAACTTGAAGTCTTTAAATCATGATTTGAAGACTTCAGTAACGCAGCCAGAGGTTATGAGTCTATTACAGGAGTGGGTGAGTGAGGTTCTATGGCCTGCAGTGTGCAGAAGGTCAGAGTAGATGATCATGGTGGTCTCTTCTGGCCTTAAAGTCTATGAGTCTATAAAACATCACAACATTTAAAGACAGCTACTGGAGGACTCCAGGCAGTTCACTGTCGTGATAGAGAAGGGTAAGCTGGTGGCAAGAACAGCTCTTCAGGATTGCTTGGATGCGGTGGACTCAGCAGCTCAATCCGTGGTATCTGCCATGTCTGTAAGGAGGTGTTCATGGCTGCAATCTTCCGGTCTCTCTCCTGAAGTACAGCACATCATCCAGGATTTGCCATATGATGGTTTGTCCCGCTTTTTGGAAAAGATGGATGATGGGTTGAATAACCTAAACCAGTGGTCTCCAAACTTTTTTGATCGCGCACCCCGTCAGTAAAAAATTTTTGAGCACTCACCCCCTGCCATGCCGAAGCGCAAAAAAAAAAAAAAAAAAGCGCTCCTCCTGCCGCGCACCCCCAAGGATCCTCTTGCGCACACCCCACTTTGAAGACCATTGACCTAAATGATTCCAGGACAACACTGAAGTCGCTTGGAATCTACACACGGGTACAAAGAGGAAGCAGTTCTGGACCCATCAGGCTCACAGGTATCAGAAGACCTGAGGCCCCAAGACCTGCGGAGGAAAAAGAGGCAGGAATTACAGGAGGCTACAGCCCCCCTAGTCATCTGTGACAACCAGCGGCCCAGTTTAAATATGCATTTTCACGGGTTTTTCAAAGGCAGCATACCAGTACTTCTAAGCCAATCTGGTCCTACCCTTATCTTTGCCAGTCCTTCATGCTTGGACTCAAATCACATCTTATTGGTGGGTCCTAAGCATAGTGGATCTGGGTTATTCCCTGCATTCGTTTCCAACTCCTTCAGGGACTATTCATGAGACCATTCATCAGCGGGAGGTCCAATCTCTCCTTCTAGTGGGAGCCACAGAGAAAGTTCCTCAGGGAAAATTTTTTTTATTCCTGCTCTTTCCTTATTCCCAAATCAAAAGGCAGTCTCAGTTCTATTTTAGACCTAAGAGAGTTAAACAAGTACCTGAAGAAAATAAAGTTCCATATGGTTACCCTAGCTTCCATCATTTCTTCCCTGGAACAGGGCAACTGGCATGCTGCTTTTGACTTACAAGATGCCTACTTCCACAGAGTCATCTGTCCAGACCATGGGAAGTTTCTCAGGTTTGTAGTGAATGGGACACTATCAATTCACGGTGCTTCCATTCGGCCTCTCAGCCCCATATGTTTTCACAAAGCAAATGGTACTGGTAGCTGCATATCTGAGGAGATTGGGAATCTGTGTTCCCCCTGCCTGCACAACTGGCTGGTGAGAGGCCAGTCCGAGTCTCAAGTGCTGTCCAGTGTGACCATCGTTTAGTCCACCTTCAATGCACTGGGGTTCTTACTCAATCTGGACAAACCAATTCTAAAATCTGTGCAAAGAATAGAGTTTGTCAGAGCACTCCTGGATGCTACAAAAACCAGAGTGTTTCTTGCCCCATTCAAGGTTCGAAACACTCCAAGACCATCTTGGATCTAAAAGCACATCCCGTTACCACAGTGAACATTTCCCCAGACTTTTGGGGCACGTGGCAGCATATGTACATACCTATGTAGTACAACATGACAGAATCCTCCTCAGGAGGCTTCAGGGTTGGTTACATTTCTCAATGTATGTCCCCTGTCAACATCGTCTAAACAGAGTGATTCACATTCCAGAGGTAATTTTGTCCTCTCTTGACTGGTGGACAGTCCCTTGCAACATTTGTATGGGAGTTCCCTTTGTTTCTCCACAACTAAATCTCATTTTAGTCACAGATGCCTCGTCCCTGTACTGTGGTGTACACGTCAGAATCCTGCAAACGCAATGGTTTTGGTTGTCACAGGATCTGAGGACGCGTATAAGCTTCAGGGATCTATGTGCTATCCATCTAGCCTACTTGGTCTTCCATCCATGTATTCTGGGAAAATATCTGCTAGTTTTAACAGACAACACAGCAACTTTGTTTTATGTAATCAGACGGGGAGCGGTACATTTGTCCCAAATGTACAAGGAGGCAGTTCTACTTTGGGAGTTCTGCATAACCAATTCCATTCACCTCAAAGCTGCGTACCTTCCAGGAGAACAGAACATGTTGGCAAATCACCTAAGCAGGTCTTTGCTCATCTTCCAGCTGTGGGGGAACTCCCCAAATGGACCTGTTTGCAACAAAGGCCAACAGAAAGTGCCATCAGTTCTGTTCCCACGGGGGTCACAGCTCAGGGTCTTTGACAGATACTTTCTCCCTTTCCTCTGATACCATTACTACTCAGAGCCCTGTTCCAGGCCAAGCAGGATCATGCTTGCCTCATACTAACAGCACCAGGTTGGTCTTGGCAACATTGATTCTCGACCCTGCTAGTGTTGTTAGCGAGGCCTCCTCTACCTCTTCCATTGAATTCACATGTGAATTCTCAAGACCATGGCTGTCTGCTCCACCCCAAACTACAGGCCTTCCACTTGGCAGTATGGATGCTTCATGGCTAGCACAGTGGAAATAGTTGCTTGAAAGATGTTCAGGAAGTGCTTTTGAATTGCAGAAAGCCTTCAACTAGACATACTTACCTGGCCAAATTAAAATGTTTTTCTATATGGTCTCAACAGAAAAGTCTCTCTCCAGTGCAGGCTTCCATTAACCATGTTTTGAATTGTCTGTTGCTCCTAAAACATCAAGGTCTGACAGTTCCATTAAAATACATTTGTCAACAATTTCAGCATTCCATCCCTCCAGTGAGTAATAGATTGCTTTTTTCCAATCCCGTAACTATCAAGTTTCTAAAAGGTTGGACCGATTATACCCTCGGGTGCAAGAACCTGTTTCCCCATGAGATCTCAGCATCATGCTAACAAAATTAATGGGACCTCCCTTTGAACCTCTTGTGACTTGCTTCCAACTCCACCTCTCCACGAAAATGGTGTTTCTGATTGCGATAACCTCAGCAAGGAGAGTCGGTGAATTGAGAGCCTTGGTTTCAGAACCTTCTTAGTCAGTTTTCCATAAGGATAAAGTTTACCTCCAACCTCACCCAAAATTCTTTACAAAGGTGGTTTCCAATTTCCACATTAATCAAGCAATTTATTTGTCAACTTTTTTTCCTGAAGCTTCACAAGCATAAACATGAGCAGAAGCTTCATTTACTGGATCTGAGGATGGGATTAGCCATCCACTTGACTGCATCAGACCCTTTAGATTCTCAGCACAGTTATTTGTAGCAGTTGCAGACTGAGTGAAAGGTAAATTGGCTACACTCAGAAGATTTCCTCCTAGATTTCCTCTTGCGTTCGTTTTGCTATCAGTTAGCTAATGTCAATGGCTCATTCAGCTAGAGTGCAATCAGCTTCAGCAGCTTTCCTAGCGCAAATACCTGTTAGAGACATTTACAAAGCAGCAACCTGGTCATCAGTTCACGCATTTGCTGCTCATTATACCATTTCCCATCGGTCCAGGAATCATGCCAGTTTTGGGTGGGTTGTTGTACAGCTCGCCTCCATGTTAATCTGCTTGTGAGTCACCTACAGCATAATGAACATGTGCAATCACGCAAAGAAGGGAAAAAAGGGTTACCTACCTTTCTGTAACTTGTTCTTCGAGATATGTAGCACATGTCCATTCAATGACTGGTCAAGAAGTAACTGGGAGGGAGTGGCTCTGTGGTGACAGAGGGTGCTTGAGCTACCCGACGAGTACCGCAGTTCTGACAACTGTGTTTGAGGCACGCACACATTTTCAGTAGAATGGACATGTGAAACACATCTCGAAGAACAACAGTTACAGAAAGGTAGGTAACCATTTCTTCTTTCATTAAAATGTTTATTCATAGATGTTAAAATATGCACATTGAAGACAGGACATATCTGTAATGTAAAATGCATGTATGCAATTAAAAATAATAAAGTTGCCCATTTTTACTTTCAGTTTTAATTGTAGCTGCCAGAAGAAAATGAATTTAATTAAATCAATATAGTTGTCCTTTTTGATGCTGATTTTTTCCCCCTCCAAATTGAGATAGGTTAGGTTTTTTTTAATTCATGAAAGATGCACTTTTTGTGTTAAATAAACTTTCTACAAATCCATAATTTGTTTTTACTTATTGCATCAGCAAAGACCTGTTTGTTTTTCAAGAACTGTGTTGCACAGTTCTGGGAAAAGGAGTGATGAAAGAACCAAATTCAGGGCCAAAGGAAGGATTTCCTAGTGGTTAGAGTGCTAGTCTGGGTCTTGGGAGACCAGGTTTCAATTCCGTGCTCTCCCACAGACTTCCTGTGTGACCTTAGCTAAGTCACTTAATTGCTCTGGGTGCTCTGTTCCCCATCTGTAAAATGGGGATAATAGTACTTCCCTACCTCACACAGATATGAGGAGAAATACACTAAAAATGTTGGAAGTTGCCCCATTATTACCAAAAATGGGGACCTTAGGGATCTTCAAAATAGAAAATGACACATATGTTGGGAAAAGAAAATATAGCATCTTGTAAATGGCTACTGCAGTAAGCATGCCGAACTTGTTTGCCTGAAAGTTATTCTTTTATTTCTCTATGCATTTATAATTCATTCTAGCATCACATGTAATTTTAAATTAATATCCTGGCCCCGTTGGTAGTCTTCCCCCTTGACTTCAATTGGGCCAGGATTTTAAGTGCAATTCAAACTGAAGATTTACTGTTACCTACTAAATAATATTTTGTTAAAAGCCAAGTGAGGTGAATAGCATAACTGTATAGCACTACATATATATAGTTTTCAGTGCCAGTAATCTAATTAAAACTTGTAAATGTTAATCTGCTAAAGCCACAGCCATTAATTTATGTGAAAGGAGTGGGAGTTTCACGAATGAGGATACTTTATGGGGATGAGCTGAAGTTATCTAACCAATAAGCAAGGAAGTCATATTGGTATCTGTTTATATGTATATCAGGAACTAGTTCTGTTGTAATCATACAAATATTTTATCTGTATTTAATCATACACACACACACGTATATCCTTCCTGTATATATACACAGTGGCTTTCACATTTTGTATAGTATTGTAAAAAAAATAACAAAGCTGAGAATTGCAGGACTCCAAAATGTTTATATGATGAATATATTGTTCCTCCTACACTAAATCTGTGCTATAATGTAATTTTTCTCTGTTTTCATAGCCTAGTCCTATAAAGAAAGAACGTTCTCCAAGACCCCAGAGCTTTTGTCACTCTTCCAGTCTTTCCCCCCAAGACAAAATGACTCTGCCTGGATTTAGCACTCCTAGAGACAAACAAAGACTGTCCTACGGAGCCTTTACAAATCAGATTTTTGTCTCTACAAGCACAGATTCTCCAGCTTCTCCAACAGCAGATGCTCCTCCTCTCCCTCCTAGAAATGCTGGCAAAGGTAAGTCTGTTCGCAAAAATGATTGTTCAATGATTATCGTAACCAACCTGAACACTTTGTGTTCTTTCAAGCTTTAGTGTGCTTTTCCTTCATATTGTATAATGCTTTTTAATCTGATTAAGTTCACATACTGAAAGCTTGCATTTTACAGTGCTGAAATGAAAAGTTTACAGTAGATTTGTATTTAAGTTGCATCTGACTTGAATTATTAAGAATAACAAATATGTACTACAATTTTATTTTCTAAAAAGCAGCTAATTCATTCTATATAGAAATAATTCTGCTCATGTTATGCTTGTTATTTAAACCCATTATTTTAATAGTACATACTAGGCATGAACCCAAACCAAAAATCTCAAATCTGGTGCATCTTGGTAACTAATGAGTGGTGCTTCAGGTTAAAATGCTGTGCAGCTTCTGGCAGAGAAGACAGCCAAACCATGAGCAGGCTGGTGAGGTCCCCACTTATCATACGAGGCTCCCCACATGTGGAGCTGCTAGAATGGCTCTGCTGAGCACTAATGGAGTGGAAGGGAAGGTCCTGAGCCCTCCACCAGGTGTCCAGCAAACCGCATATTCACTTTAAAACTGAGTAAGAGGCCCCAGGTCTTCACTGAGTGAAACAACCGCTTGGTCTTGTAGGATTATCTATGAAGAAGAATTACGGGTTTGTGCTAAAGGGCTGGTCTACACTATGGGGGGGGATCGATCCAAGATACGCAACTTCAGCTACGCTATTCGCGTAGCTGAAGTCAAAGTATCTTGGATCGAATTACCTGGGGTCCACACGGCGCGGGATCGACGGCCGCGGCTCCCCCGTCAACTGCGCTACCGCCGCTCGCTCTGGTGGAGTTCCGGAGTCGACGGTGAGCGCGTTTGGGGATCGATATATCACGTCTTAACGAGACGCGATAAATCGATTGCTACCCGCCGATACGGCGGGTAGTGAAGACGTACCCAAAGTTGTGTAATCAGCATCATGTGCACTTAATGTAAAGCCATGAGATAGTTAATGTTGCCTTTTTTGTGATGAAATAATAAATTTTATAATAGTGTTTCAAAGGGAAGAGAATCTCTTACAACTATATTAGTCCTGAAGATTTTTTTCATACCTGATGTATTGTTGCTGTGAGAGATGTTAATAGTTCGTTAATCCATTTATACCATACTCATAACATTATGGTTTGGAGTGGGCTATTCAACTATGGAATATTATTGTTAGTTTTCTGTAATTCACTTAAGTCTAACCTTGAAGCTTTGCTACCATCAAGTTTTCTACTTTTTTCTTTCCTGCAGCTTATACAGAGACAAACTGTTTTTGTTTGTTTTATTTTGATTTTTATTTGTTTTTTAAACTAGACTTATGTAAAATGTCCTTAGTGGCTAACAGCATAATGTGAGGCTAAAAGCCTTAAGTGAATTTGCCCCCTTGAGTTACAAAGCTGTTACATAACTATTTGCATTTCATTTTCTTGGCTCTTACTTTAGTTTCAATTTTCAAAAGGAATAAAGAAAAGAGCTCATTAAAATGTACAGCGTGACACTGGACGCAGTAGTGTCTGTTTGCTTTATAGAACAGCAGTTGCATGATTCAGATACCATGCTTGGGAAATACTGTTCCAAGGGCAGCATTAGTCATGTATTGGTGATTTTAGTGTTTCCTGGGTTTTTTTTTTTTAATATAGGAAAGTTGCCAATTGACTGCCTGACTAGCCTTGCCGTTCTGTTACACAGCTTCTGTCTTCATCCATTACTCATGGGCTAATGCTCCCCCTCCTGTGGAATTCGGAGGTGGTCCAGTGTTGTTGCTGGAGGCTTCAGGACTAAGCCCCACCCTTCAGCTAAGGCCACCAGATTTTCTGCCTCCGGTGATGGAGCAAGCTGGTAGTTCAGTTTCTCCCAACCATTTTGTTTTAAAGCCTTTATTATTATTATTATTTTTCATGCCGTTTTGACTTATTATCTCCCTCCTCCCCTCAATGAGATGAATAGCAGCAGAGTGGTTTCAGCCACCTGGATCTGCTACTGCAGCACCTCCTGCTAGTCTCCTCTGCAGAGCTGTCCTAAAAACACCAGACTTAAATCTAAGCAGTGTTCCTTACATGAGGCAGCACTTACAAGATCTACAGTTATGACCTGCCAGTTGCCAGCCAGCTGACCATTGCATTACTAGGGCATGGGGCTCAGAGTCCGGCCAGCCGACCTTTGCACTGGTTGGGCTCGGGGTTCAGAGTCAGACCAGCAAGACGAGTCCCAACCCTGCCCCAGTGTCTCACAACTCCAGCACAGAAAAGCCTGATCAGGAGCTTCTGAGCTTTAGGGGAGAGAGTCTAAGGATGAGGAGAAAGCTATCTGGTCAGCTTAGGGGATAAGTCTTGTAACAGACCTGGACTGGAGTGGGAAAAATCCTGAAAGGATCCAGAATCCCTCCCAGATAGTGAAGTGGGTCCTCAGCTCCCTGGGAAAAGAAGCAGGGCTCCTACACAGCTCTCCTTGCTCCCACTATGAATCGGGATTCTCATGGTACTCAGGGGTAAGTCCTGTAAATCCCATAGACTCCCAGAAAGACAGAAGCAAATGTGTCCTTCACAAGGCAGTGATTACTACTAGTAATGAACAAATGGGGAAGAAATATGGGGTTAGCCTCCTCCTCCTTTGTCTTCTCTTCCTGAGGGAGTGTTTGCTGGGGCTTTTGTCATATGCAGAGTTTCTTTCACAGACAGTCTTCTTTACCATGCTCACTGCCACTCCACCATGCCCTCTGGACATGCAGAGAAGCCTGTGTTCCTCCTATGCAGTTCTGCCTCACGCTGAAGCCTAATTGGGATTGAGCCTTGCTCTGCCAAGGAAAGAGGGTCAGACTCTGAAAGGCAGGAAAGATTCTCTCTCTCCACAGGCTGGCTCCACATTAAAGCCCTAGGAACACTTCAAGCAGTCTGTGACTAGAACAGAGGCTCCCCACAAAACTGCACCATCATGGGATTACAGGGAGGTAAATGAAAAAATCCCTTCCCATTTTCAAAATAATCCTAGTAGGAGCAACCTAGTATAATACTTTCTTGGATGCTAGCCAGCCTGGGGAGCAGGCAGCAGCCTTTTAGCCTTCCAGGGACATCTAGCAAGCTACTTCCACAATTGAAGTATATGTACCAGTAACCTTCTCTGTTGTGCAGTCCTATGTCAGAATGAATAATGTACTGCCTCCCTTCTGTAAACAGCTTGGGGAAGAAGGTACCACATGTGCAAAACAACAAAACATACCACCAACCTACAAGATTTTTTCAGGACAGGATGTCAGTCAGTGGCTTGCAAGGAACTCATTAATATTAATAACATATCTTTGCCTTCAAACATTATTAGATACAAGCTTTCCTGTTAATGCCTCCTTTGAGGGCTTCATAAGAGCCAAATGAAGGCACCTGATTAAACCAAATGTTAATCTAAAATGTTTATATGAAAGAAATTTTATAAAATTGGGGAGCCTAAGGTGGTGCAACAGTAGCTCCACCAATCGAAGATGTAGCCACATCTTCAGAAGGGGACTTCTTTCCAAAAGACCCATAGGCCATAGGAATGATGACAATGCACAGCAATTTCAAACCTCAGCTATAACCTTTCAGATCACAGGTTCTTCATACATTTAGCAAGGAATGTCCTCTTTGTGGCAAAAAAGTGGCTTGTTGTCTAAAGGTATGACCCTAGCTTGGAGTAAGACATCACAAGTTCTGTCCTGGTCAGATCCTTAATGTGCTTTTTGTTGAGCAATGGATTCCAATTTGGTGGCTACAAGGAAGCTGTGTTACAATCATGAATAGCTTCATCCTAAATGGATATCTTGTGCATGAAAACTTGTTGGTAGGGAGCTATTGGGGGAAACGTTAGAGAAATTACTAGCTGAGATTGCAGAGTGGCTTCAGCTCTCATTGTTGAAGCCACCATAGCAATCCAGTAGCTGCTACCAACACCAAGGGTGTTCAGGAAGTAACTATTACCCTGGCAGAGGGGAAAATCTGGAGCAGAAGTTTCCAGAGGAACCTAGATAATTTTTCCTCCAAACCAACTAAGTCCTCAGCATGACAAAGAGTATTTGAGTACAAGATCTCACAAAGTGGATCCAGACTGCTGGCACTTAACATTAAAAAGGTTGCAGAGCAGTTTTTAAACTAAGGGATGGAGGAAAGCCGACTGCTGCAGAGGAGCATGTGGATCGGACAGAGACTTCTCTTAGAGGAGAGTCTAATGATAGAGATTCTCTAGGTTCTAGTCAGGAGCAGAGGATGGAAGAGGATAAAGTATGGGCCAGATCAGATGAGAAATATTTACATAAAGAATTTGACACATCAGAAAAGGGCAGACAAATAAACAGTGACAAGTTTTGAAAGTGCTTGTACACAAATGCTAGAAGTCTAAATAATAAGATGGGTGAACTAGAGTGCCTCGTGTTAAAGGAGGATATTGATATAATAGGCATCACAGAAACCTGGTGGAGTGGGGCACAATCAATGGGACACAATCATTCCGGGGTACAAAATATATCGAAAGGACAGAACAGGTCGTACGGGGGGTGAAGGGGAGTGGCACTATATGTGGAAAAAAATGTAGAATCAAATGAAATACAAATCTTAAATGAATCCACATGTTCCATAGAATCTCTATGGATAGTAATACCATGCTATAATAAGAATATAACAGTAGGGATCTATTATCGACCACCTGACCAGGACAGTGATAGTGACAATGAAATGCTAAGGGAGATTAGAGAGGCTATCAAAATAAAGAACTCAATAATAGTGGGGGATTTCAATTATCCCCATATTGACCGGGTACATGTCACCTCAGGACGAAATGCAGAGACAAAATTTCTCGATACTTTAAATGACTTCTTGGAGCAGCTGGTACAGGAACCCACAAGGGGAGAGGCAATTCTCGATTTAGTCCTGAGTGGAGCGCAGGATCTGGTCCAAGAGGTAACTATAACAGGACCGCTTGGAAATAGTGAC